GAAATTTGATTTTTTATTAATATGTACTAATAAGTTACTAATGTATAATATTATATTAGATACAATGCACAAATTTAATAATACATAAATTAACAAAACACCCAGTTTTATAAAATAAAATAATTTCAAAATGTAGGTTAAAATTACATTTTCTGATTCATCATTGAATTCAAATTTAACCATACACCTTATACTAATAGACGAGCAAATGAGAGGACGCTTCTGGCGGTATCGTGTACTGCAAACATACGCATTAATGAGTACAATATTTTTAAAATTGTACCAGACATAAAGTACGATTAAATACTATGGATTCTATGTATAGTATTTGGTACGATAAAATATTATAAAAATATTAATACATTTGTACTTTGTCTTTGTGCTTTAATTTAAAGTCTCTCATCTATGCTTAAACTACAGAATTCACAAGATAAGTACCTATACAATATTATTTTATACAATAGAGATTGTACAGAGTGGTAAACCTGACATCAAATTTTGCTGCATCTAGTCTCACCGCAACGGAAGGCTCCTCTATTAGTATAAGGTTCATTACAGTGACCCATATAACAACGTATGTACAGCAGAGCGGGATTCACTTGCCAAACATTTTTTTAAATTATTTTTTAAAAACTATTTCTGTGTTAGTTGAACCACATGTTTAAAAAAAAAAAATGTATCAAAAATGTAATATTACACTATAATGCAAATTTAATTCATACCGTGTTTGGAATAATTGACTTTCATTGTTATGGTCTGTTTCTTTAATAATTCCATTAAATACTTGATCATCAATAATTTCATTAAATACTTGACCATCAACAGCTTCCTGTTTAATATTTTTGTTTAATTCTTGATCAACACATTTCACATTAAGTGGTAATGGCACCACTCCTGAACTGTGTAATACATCATAAAAAAATTAATCAAAATTAAAATTAAAATTGGTTTTAATGTATAAATTAGATACAATGCAAAAATTTAATAATATATAAATTATAAGAACACAGTTTTATAAAATAAAACAATTTCAAAATGTAGGTTGAAATTACATTTAACGAGATACTAATTATAATGTATTATTGCCCACTTCGAATTTAGTAATTTAATAGTTATGCTTAATGGTTCCATATTGAATTATGACCTTTTTATTGTTTGTTTTTCAATTAGGTACTGTGAACATTAATCATAACAATTAGGTGTCTTTTATATCAAACCTTTCAGTTGGTAACAAGAGATGTGAGTAGAGTGTGCATTTACACATATTTTTTTTCAATTTTTTTTTTTTTTTTTTTGGATTGTAATAAATAAAATTGAAACACTGATATGTATTTAAATTTTAAACTCAAATATTAAGACAGCATTTAGTATTTAGTATTTTTTTTACTTTTTAAATACCAATGTTTCCCCATGTTCCTACAATTTACCAATTACCAAGGACAAATTTATAACAGCAATAAAGTTTATTATAAACTATAAAGAACAAATTATAATAAAAATAGTATTCTTAATTAGACATCTCACTCACTACGTATCATTTACTGTTACTTAGCTATTTTGGTTTTCATACAATATGTCCCGTGAAGAAGTGACCAGAAGGTGTCATACTTTTTTATTTATTTAAGTTATGGGCTATTCAACTTTTTTCAAAATAAAAACAAATCTACTTTTTATTTACTAACTATCTACAAAATTATTCAAATTTTTATCGTAATTTTTTTTTCTGGTTTGATTGTGTATGTTAGTTGGTACATTAGTTATGTTAGTTTATTCTTTCTTTCTTTCTTCTAGCTTTTACAGTCCATTTAGTACCTTCGCTACCTCAACCACATCTTTCCACCTATCTCTATCTTCGCTATCTTCAATCCTAATTAAATCTTCTAAGATTTCCTTGAGATCCGTTTTCACTCTGTCCGCCCATCTTTGTCTTGGTCGACCCCTAGGTCTTTTACCGTTTAGTCTTCCATTGAATACATTTTTTGCAATACCTTGCGTTCTCCAAATATGAGCCGCCCATTCTAACCTTTTACTTTTTAGATACGCACTTATAATGGGTTTATTAAACATTTGGTACATTTCTTGGTTAGTTCTTCTTCTACATTCACCATTCTCAATTACAGGGCCATATTTTCGACGAAGTACTTTTCTTTCAAATATGTTTAACTTCTCTTCATTTCCCTTAGTTACCGACCAGGTTTCACAGCTATACGTCAAGACAGGTTGTAAAAAGCTGGAATATAGATATTCTTTTGACTTCCTGGACAAAAGTTTTGATTTAAACAATTTCGCAAGTGCATAATATCCCTTGTTCCCTGATGCAATTCTCAATTTGATTTTGTTGTGCATATTGTTACGGTTGTTTATATTAGTTCCTAGATACTTGAAATCTGTTACTTGTTGGAAGACATATCCAACCACTAGCATATCATCTAGAGCTCTTTCTTCTCTTGATACTACTAGGCATTTAGTCTTTTCATGATTGACTTTTAATCCAATCGGTTCCGCTGCTTTAATTAGGTCCACGGTCCTCATTAAAATGAGGATCTCAAATGGTCCTCGCGGTCCTCAAATGTTAGTTTATAGCCGGCAAAATGGCTTTAATATAAAATAAGAAGTTGAACATTTTGCAAATGTGAGGTGGTAGGTTTGGTTTGTTTAAAATGAAGTTAAATTGCGCATAATTTGATTATTTTGGGCTTTCTACACCGCGGGTTGAGTCGGTTTAACTTAACGCTTGAAAATTTAAAATTGTAAAACATATTTGTTTTAATTGGTTTATGGAAGCTATGGCAAATTTAGTACATTGGCAAATAAATTGTTGATTCAAACCTGTGTATAACTCACCGCTATATTAGGCCATATCAATATGTTCAGTATGTTCTTTGCACACTGATTATGGCAAATGAATTTCAGAAAATAATTATTTTTATGAAAGAGATAAAAGAAATATGTTGTTCTGAGAAAATTATAATAGAGTGTGAAAGACTTGGGTAAAATACTTTTAAAAAGTATTCGGAATAAATACTCGAATACTTATTAAGAATAGTATTCAGAATCAGAAGCGGCTTGTTAATAAGTATTCTGGGGATACTTTAATTAGTTTCTATCATATTTTTTAAAAGGAAAATTGTAATAAATTATGAGCGCATATAGATGTACAGTACTAGTCTTTAACAATGGAGTGGCGGCAATACTGTATATCATATAGGTATTGTCATGAACCAAGGTTCAATAACAAATTTACCTCTATAATACATGGCTTCTTCCCCCGGGCCCCTTCTGTTCATCCAGTGCTAACATTACATGTTACGGTTGAAAATGTTGGGCGACAGTTTCACTGAATCGGTGACCTTGTTTTAATTACTATAATAATATTTCCATCAAAATTACTATTTATAGGTTTTCAGATAAAAATACTTCCAATTAATTATTATTTACAAGTAGCTGTTTTCTTTTTTTTTTTTGAAGGGGAGATTCTGTTTCAAAGATTCCCCTGACGGAGCCGCCTTTGTTCAGAATTAATTTTGAGAAAATTAGAGCCAACGTTTATAATTTAATAATTCATATATAATATAATTAAGTTGCTAATACTTGATTTAACATTTTAAAATGGGTACATTATTGTAAAAGTTTACAGAAAAACAAGGAAAACAATTATTATTGTAACAAAATAATTTTAAAAAATATTCTAAAAAGTTATTCATAATACTTTTGATGAAGGAATCAAACTGCCCAAAACTGGAGTAGGTTCATAATTAGTGTTGAAACATTTATAACTATGTAACATTGTAAATGTATAACCGTTAAATATTAATGGATAATTTTACTTTTGCAAAATATAAGACTAAATATTATGTTTCATTTTATACCTTCATAGTAAACATTGGGTTCAGTCTTGGTCGAGGTCTTGCTGTTCAATTTTTATTTACCTATTACAAATAATTTATGAGATTATCTCATCAACATTATCAGATACTTTGATTACATTTTAGTTTAAATTTCTACACAGAATACATTGAGTTCAGTATTCAATTTTAATTTACTAACTATAAACTGTTGATACACAATACATATTATTTTATTACAATTTACAAGGTACCTACTTACAATTTACGCCAGATAATTTATTAGCTGATATTATTACCACAATATAATAAGCTTCATAATCCACACCAACGGTAATTAATAATTATTAGTAAACAGTAAAAAAGTGATAAAAAGTTGGTAAAATTATATTTATTCTTTAATAGTATTGTTGGCTAAATGATGAGGAATGGGTTATGGCATTATGGGTGACCACTGATCGTTTTATTATATTATTATAATACTAATTGCTCATTACTCATTATTAGTCATTGTCTCTGTAATGTATCTTATGTATCTGTATTTCTTTATTAGCGTTGTATACTGATTGTATGACGTATGAAGTGAATATTCAAAAGAACTCTTCTTAAGAGGACTATACCCGCATGTTTTGTCTCCGTCCTACAAATGTACAACATAGTAAAAACTGCTTTCATTCATATACAATATAGTTCAGAACATTATCTGTGAAACATCGTTTATTGTTTTTTTATAATTAATTAGTAATTTAGTGCACAGTGCACACTGGATAGCTGCTGGTGAAACATGAAAAAAGTGCACTAGTGCACCTAGAGACGTGGGGGAAAACGCTGTAAGTGAAATTAGAATATTGTGTACTTACATCACGAATTAAAATAATATTGTATTTCAATTTTTTTAATTTGTGCTTAACATAATAATATTATGTTTATTAAACAAAAAAACTACTGATAAGATAAGATAAGATAAGGATATTGATTTAATTGTTCGCTGGATCTTTAATATCTATGGCTGGTTTCACACACGTAATCACTATGGAAAAAAGATTAAAGGCCTCACGGACCAAGATTGTAAATCTGACATTTTCACGTGGTTTTTTTTTTATGTTGTGATTTTATATTTACAGTACGCGCCATATCTCCGTGAACACAGCAAATATGGAGCTAATTCCCTTGAATTGTTCGAAAGAAACATCAACGATGGCGGCCGACGACAAAACAACGTACACCTTACCTAGCCTATCTTTGACGGCTTTCAACGCGTGTATCCAGATGTACCGGAAAAAGTACTACGAGAAAGAAGTTCCAATCGTTGACATCCAGGTTTGTTGCGAGGCTCTTTTCGATATCATGAAATTGAACTCGGAAGACGGTAGGTTCAACTTGCTGGGTGATAGACAGTCCATGTTCGGAAAAGTGCAGGACAAGATTATCATGGAAAATATATGTGAGGAGGCGGCATCTAATGGTCACATCGAATGCATGAAATTCGCTCGTGCGATTGGCGTTCCCTGGTTCGATACTAACGTAACGGGTGAATCAGCATGCGATCGAGCCATAACCTCGGGCAACTTGGACTGCCTGATTTATGCCATTGACAATGGATGTCCGGCAAATGAGGAAACGTGCGGCTGGGCAGCGTGGGTGGGCCAGTTAGAATGTCTGAAGTATCTACACAACAACAGAATCCCATGGCACCCAAGAACGTGTACTTTTGCTGCAAATCGTGGGCATATGAACTGTTTAAAATATGCTTATGAAAACGGCTGCAGTTTTGATAGGCTCGCATATACTTTTGCTGTTCTTGGTAAACATTCTGACTGTATACAGTATGTATATAATAGAACTACCCATAGGGGTTTTTTGTAAGGCAATTATCAAAGTCCACCATGACGTATGCCTCAACAATAAATGTCCAAATTAATGAACTACTATCAATTAATGCCATTCATTTTTGTATGTTTCAAGTTATTTATTTATATATTTATTATAAATTTGACACCTTATAAGCTCAAGTACAGATATATAATACATTTCCGTTTAACATATTATAATAATAAGTTTAATATTATAGTCTTAATATAAGATAAAGAAAATTAACATAATCGGCAAGAATACTATACTACAGAAATAGTAGAATAATGTCTTTTTAGGCCTGGTATAGAATTTTTTTTAAACAAGGTACAGACATATTGTGGTTATACTATAATAATTGCTTACCAATTTACTTAAAATAAAACATAGACAAAAGGATAAAATTAAATGTTAGGTACACATAATAAGGTATGGTTGAATTAACAATTAAGGTTTTTTTTTACTTAATTGTTCTAATGAATAAGAAAAACAATTTTTTTATTATATAGATAGCCTAGTTTTCTATTAACATTATTGAATATATATTTTTTTAACATCCAATGATAGAGACTTGAAAATAGTAGGACCTGATAATCAACAGAACTCATTTTTTGTTTACCATACAGCTATGTTATACACTCTAATGTCATGCTTAGTGTCTTTTTTTAATAATAATTTTACTTGTCAAAAATAGGATAGCAAATTGTACAATATTGTACAAAATTTAACTGGAGGTATCTTAAGTTGCTTATAGTTTTGTACCATATATGGTATTTTATGGTATATTTGCCTTGTATATTTTTTTTACACTTATGCTTATTGTAAATATCATTTCAGATTATATTTAATAAAATAAATGTTAAAAATATATAATATATAATATATATAATTTTAAAGTTTTTGTGAAATTATTAAAGAATGTATTGTTTGTATATTTATCAAGCTTTTGATATTAATGTAAAGTATACAAATGCTCTAAAATTGTTCATGCATTTTGTGTATTTTTTTTTTCTTTCATTAGATTAATTTCATTAGAATTCACTATAAGTTGATTATATTAAATTTAAACAAATTATAATATTGTTGAACTCTGTATACAAGATACGAGCTTATAGTTCAGTTGGTATCGTGTCAGCTATTATTATGTATTTGATTGTAAATATTTAATTGTAATTGTTTTGGCTGAATAAATAAATAAATATAATTTGGTGACTATAATACATTGAAATAAGGTCTCCATGAAGAACTGTATCATTACACCACTTTAATACGTAGTTGATAAAACTACCTATATTAATTAATGATTGTAGACAACCTGAACTAATTTCAAAACTATTCAAATTATGTCGAATGAAAATAAATGGTTTAATGTTAGTTCTCTTGAAATCAATTAATATTAATAATATAATATAATCAATATATTAATATGTTCCTTTTTCAATTTCAAAAGTTTACTGGTTATTTAGCACATCCTAGATGTTTTAGAAAAAACACTTTTTTTAAGATTTTATTTGTTCCTAATTGAACAGTTTATACATATTTTTTACAATAAGCTTAAATGATAATGAACAAAGGTTTGACAGAAAGGCTCTATGGGAAAAGCCCATTGACAAAATTCTTGAGGAAAAAAATGTTTAGGAATAATAGTATAACATGAAACTTGTTTATAAATTATATGTCTATGGAGAAGTATAAACTTCTTAGTTCATATATATTTTATAAGTATACTATATACATTATGTTATCAATTATCATTCATTGTTTCCCATTGAACACATTGCAAACGTTGCCTTTATTTTATTTTTTAAGACTAGAACCCTGAAATATTATTTTATTTTCAAAATTAGCAAAGCTGGGAATTAAAAACTTATGCAAAATCTTCTATTAAAATTTTTAATCTTAGGTATGAAAAGAAAAACTTTTATGAATTTTTAACTAAATAATAATTTACAACATTTAAAAAATATCTCATGGCTATTAATATCTGAAAAAGTTTCAAAATTCTTTGAAAATATTACCATGTATGGATAATGGTTGTTTTAACATTTAGTAAAAATGTCAAGTAGGTATCTAGATTCATTCGTTTTTAAGTTACAACAAATTATCAACAATTAATTGATGACAATTCTTTAATTTACCTATGAAAATACAATATTTAAATACAAACACTCTTAAAAAATTAATGTTGCAGCTTTTCGGTAAACTTTTTTTTTAATTAAGGTAGGTAAATTTGGGAGGACTCTTCTTTCAACATTTATAATGTTAGCTTTGAAAAGTAGGATAACACTTCACCAATCCCCTCACGATTTTCAATTTTCTTTTTTTCAAACGACTTGTTTTTTCAGATTCTGAGCGTCAGTGCATTTTTTAAGGATTTTTTACTGGGCGACAAAAAATGTTTACTCAAAATAGATAGTCATTTATAGTAGGTAATAAATTCATGTTTACCCCTCATAATTATTAAAAATAAATCTTGATGCTAGAAGTAAATGGTAGGTAGGTAAAAGTTATAAAAAAGTCATAATTTATTTAAAAGAAGATAATTAATATTATATATAAATAAATATTAAATTACATAATCTAATATTTTTATAATATAATCACATGTTTATTCTATAATTTTGAGGTAAAATATAAGATTCAGGATTAGGTGATTTTAGTTTTTTTGAGGATACTCCAAAAAAGTCTGTAATGTGTTTAGCCATAGTGATTTGTATTTGAATTAAGCTAAAATGTAATAATTAAAGAATTATTAATTGAAAATTGCTTATAAAATGTATATTATATACTACACCTAATACCTATACTCTTTTAAGAATATTTTTAACTATTTAAATTATGATTTTGTATCATAAAAATTTATCGTATCATAAATCATCTTAAAACTATGAAATTAATGGTGACAATAAGGGTTTGGTAATCAAGACTGCTGTACAATAATAATTAATAATAAGCAGTAATAGTTTTAGTATTTAAGCAAAATCCAAATAAAACGTTACAACACATTATTTGCAAACCAGTGTTAAGTGACAATATTGAATGTAATATGTAAAAATGATGCAGCGATTCGCAAACGCAAAGGGAAAAAAAACGTTTGTTTTCGGTCGACGTTACATAAAACCGACTACATTTGTTTTGAGGCGGCCGATGATGTGAATTTTGCAAAAATGTATGCATCTAATTAGTCAATAATATTTTTGTGAATAAAATAATAAAAAGTGACAACCCGATGGCCGACGAAGTCAATAGTTAGTTGTAAACGGTCAATTTAAATAAAGAGATTTTCCCGTGACCCTAAGGCCCGTTTCACATGGACGCGTATCATATATAAATCACAGATTTCTATATATTACTAGATAGCGAACTCCGGTCATGAATTGAAGCTTCAAGGTCGGTTGGCAATTGTATGGCATTTCATATGACAAATAAGATGACCATAGGCGTGCGCAGACCTTGCTGGCAGGGGGGGCAGAATGTAATAATGTACCTATAGGTATATTATATAATATATAGGTAAGTAAATATTATTTTGGTTATTAGTTCAATTAATGTAAGTGATGGAAGTATTTTCATTTTATGTATCATTAAAACTACAAATAACTACAAATTTAATATAGTAATTGAAACTCCAAAGTTTTTTTATATTATATTAATATACATGAACAAAGAAAATTATTACATTCATACAGTGGTGGATCCAGGGGGATGGCAAAGGGGGCATTTGCCCCCCCCCCCCAATAACCGTAGTTTTCCTTTGTTTTACACTGTGTTTAGCAGTGTTGTAAAAAATACTTTTAAAAAGTATTTGAGTAAATACTCAAATACTTATAAAATAAAGTATTTAAAATACCACCCAAATACTATCTATTGTAAAGTATTTGAGTATTACTCAAATACTTTTTAGAAGTATTTGAAATAATTTTCAAATACAAAACAAAAAAATACGTACGTATACGACATACCTTACCTACCTAATGTTCGTATTGTATTTCGCTATGATAATATACTCTATTGGTAGGTAGTAGGTACCGAAACGTACCGTTCCGATCGTCGTCGAGTGTCGACGATAAACAGACGGTTTCTCAGAGTAACTAATATTAATTAGCTATTAATAGACGAAAACTAAAACCAATATAGAATTGTTCATAAATGATAAATATATATTATAATATTATTAAGACATTATTATTATTTGACAATGAATAAAAAGTTGAAGGAATAAAAAAAGTATTCAATAAAATAGTATTCAATAGTAAAAAAATGTATTTAAAATACCGTTCAAATACTTCAAAAATAAAAGTATTTGAAAAAGTATTCAATACGGAAAAAAGTATTTGAATACTTTAACTCAAATACTTTTACTCAAATACTTTACAACACTGGTGTTTAGCCAATTTTGGAACTTTCATATACTTTTGAGCCCTCCATGCCCCTCCCAAAATTAAGCCCTGGATCCGCCACTGCATTCATATATATTTTTATGCCCGATGTGTTGGTGAAATCTGAATTTACTAATTCTACTTACTTTTTATTTACAATTACAAAAAAAGTAAGTAAGATAGGTAAATTATTATTTGCACCAACACGTTGAACATATTATAAATATCAACATTTAAAAAAAAATTTAAATCCTTAGTATTGCATTTACATGATTTTTCCAAAAATAGTACCACTATTATATCATGCATTAATGTATCAATAATATTCTATTCTTTGGTAATATTGAAATTTATACATTATTGTAGGCATGTAACCTATTATTTAAACTGTTTTATAAATTATACTTTATAGGTATTTAATAGTATTAGGTATATAATAAACAATTTGATTTGTAGGTTACAGTATAAATAGAAAATTAATTTCAATATAAAACACCACATTAAAAAAAAAGATAGGTATATTCTGATTTAATCAACACGTTGAGCATAAAAATACTATAATACTAAAAATTCCGAAAATTGCTTCGGAAGTAAAGAGCTATAATATTTGTTCGTATACTGCATAATAATTATTAT